CATTACTGTACTGACACGATATTAAGGGTCAGGGTCAGTAAAATCCCCCGGACCGCCCGCACTAGGCGTCGGCTTCATTGATGTCAAAGGAACCGACAACTAGTGCGGGCGGTCTAGGGTATTTTACTGACCCTTAATATCGTGTAAATACAGTACAAAAAATCGAAAAAAAATACGCAAACCATAAAATTAAATTAGAAGTTCAATTAAGCAGCAGAATTAACGAAAAGATAAAGATGTAACTGGGAAATAAAGAGTTTAATTTTAGGAGGAAGCCGAGAAATTGCGGAAAGAATTAGCTGAGCAGACCAGCGCTTTATTACAACCCGCGCAGTCAGTTTTAAGCGCCGAACAGCGGCAAACCGGCATGGAATTATGGCGGAAATACGAGATGTTGACGGCGGGTCTGGCGTACGAGTTGTGCGAGCAGCTGCGGCTGGTGCTGGAGCCGACGAAGAAGGCCAAAATGCGGTGGGTGGGAAATGTTGTTGATTGTTGCTGAAAAATCTTTTTAAAAATATTTTTGACTACTCAAGAAAATTAAGAAAAATATTTTTGACTGTTTTTTCGGGAAAATATTCTTGTATTTAGAATGATTGTTTTCTTTTTGCAGCGGTGATTATCGAAGTGGAAAGCGACTGAATATGCGGCGTGTGATCGCCTACGTCGCCAGTGAATTCCGCAAGGACAAGATCTGGCTGCGCCGCAGTCTGCCCAGTCAGCGCCAGTACCAAATCCTGCTGGCTGTCGATGATTCCGCCAGCATGGCCGACAACCGCACCAAAGAGGTCGGCATTTCTAATTATTCCCGGCGTATTCTGATTATTCTCCATTTCTAATTTCTAATTATTCCCAATATTTTCTGAACTTTTTCCGTTTGCTTCTGAGTTTTTCTACAAATTTGTTTGACATTTTCTGGAATTAAATAATTGTTTCGAGAGCACTTGTGTAGCTGGTACTGTAGATTTTTGTTTGTTTAAAATTTTTTAAATATTTTTGAATTGTTGATTTTTTGGTTGGATTTTCTTCTGAATTTTTTTCGAATTTCCCTGGAAGATTTTCTTATTGTGCGTGTTCGGAATTGGTTTTTCCTTCGGTGAATTTTTTATCTGAATTAATTGACTGTTTTAGAAGCCCAGTGGATATTTTAGATTTTGTTGTCTTTTTTTAGTTCTCTCTCTTACTTATCTGGATTATTTGAGGATTTATTGTGAATGTTCTGGCATGGATTGTGAATGTTGTGCTTGTGTTTACAGTTGGCGTTCGAGTCGGTGGCGGTAATCCGGCAGGCGTTGTCGCTTCTGCAAGTGGGCGAGGTGGGCGTGTGCCGCTTCGGACAGGGCGTGGAGATGCTGCTGCCCCTGGGCGGGGGCGCCAGCGGCAGCAGTGAAGACGCCGCCGCCATGCTCTCCCGCTTCACTTTCGCCCAGAAACGCACCAATGTCCCTCTTGTAAGCGCTTTTATTCTGCTGCAGTTATTATTTATATTTCTCGTATTTATATTTCTTTCGTTTTCGGATTTTTGCTGGAATTTTCCTTTTTTATTTATTGGTCCAGTCTTCCGGTCTTTTTGATTTCTCCAGTTTATCCGTAGATTATTGCTGTTACATTCCCGGTATGTAATTATTTTTTAAATTGGATTTCTTTTTAAAATGTTTGTATTTAATTTGGAGTGATTATTGTGCTTTTTATGGAGTAATTTCAAGTGCGGTATTTTTCTGGATGAGCAGATGCTGGAGTCGGTGGCGGGGGTCTTCCAGGCGGCGCGGACGCGGCTGCTGACGGTGCCCAGCGTGGCGCAGCTGCTGCTGATCGTGTCGGATGGGCGCGGCGTCTTCCAGGACGGCGACGAGCGGGTCGAGCGCGCCGTGCGCAGCGTCGTCGGCGCCGGCGTCTTCGTCGTCTTCCTCATCCTCGACAATCCCACCGCCAACCCAACAAAACAGGTTCGCTACGGAATCGCCATATATTCTTATTTATTCAGCATTATTTTCTTACATTTTAATATTTATCTGATTAAATTACCAGTATATTATTCATTGTTTTCTAATAATTTACGGTAATCCTAAAATTATACTCGTACTCTTACTATTCTTGATTGAAGAAATGGATATTTGTTTACTTTTCAAAATTTAATATGACGTGATTTATGATTACAAGAAAAGAAAAATGGAGAAAATTACAAATCAGAATTAATGAAACATTTTAGTATTAGGAAAATAATTGAATTCTGACCATTATTTAAGTAATATTTTTTGGATTTTGGGTGTAGAATGACGAGTCGATCGTGAAGCACGAGAAGGTGATCTTGCACGACAAGGGACTGCCGACGCAGCGCGTGGAGAGGCGCAGCTACATGCAGTGCTTCCCCTTTCCTTTCTATCTCGTTCTACGCAGCGTTCGCCAACTGCCCAACACATTATGCGACGCGCTGCGCCAGTGGTTCGAGCTCATCGCCGCCCAGGATTAAAACGAGAATGCCGGTTATAACAAATAACATTAATATTAAATGGCAGTTGGTTTTCCTGTCTTTTCTTTCTTGTTGAATTTGTTTTTGTTTTTAACGCTGGATGGAGCCTTCTAATTGTTTGTGATGATTTTAGACTGGTAATTATTTGGCGAATAATGTAATAAAAATGTGCAAGAATGTACTGGGGTTTTACTCTTAAATAAATTCGACGGAAAATATCAGGAAAAAATCACAGATTTCACGAATTACGAGGGTCGTTCTATAAGTTTTTAGCACCCGTTTGTCATCTTTCGCTGCAGCAAGTTTTCGTCTTCTCTTCCATAAAATATATTTCTTTAGTCTATATACGTCGTAGAAGTCTATTTACAAAATCTCAAAACGAATTCACAGCAATTTACGCGGTAAAGAACATATCGTCCCATGAGAATTTCTTTCCCCTCTTTATCTAGCTGTTTTTCTGCCTTTTGTCACGAATCGATTTTTTTAAAGTAAGAAATGATTTAAACTTTTGAGGTAGTAAGGGATGTGAATAAAGTAGACCCGTGAAGAAATTCTTGACTGACGTTGCAAAAAAAAGGAAGAAACGTCCAAAAAATGTGTCTGCGCGCTTTCTGGATGTCAAACCGTACGGAGGATACCGAGTCAAAATTAATCTTCCTCAAGCTTATCAGCGAGGAGCTGCAGCAGAACTCAGACACTGTACCCTTCTGAATGCTAAGTCCCTCTGCTATTGTTTTCATGGTCATAAGAAAAATTCTTGGTTATGGCTGTTATTTAGGGAACCGGCAGTATATAATTATGGAAGAAATCGTACGCCTTCCACGAATAACTGCTCCACTGGGCAAGCGGTAGCGATGATTTCAGTATACGCTGATGCACGGTATAAGGAATATACGCCGTCACCACCAGCACATTCACAGCGGCCAACACGGTCAAGATAGCCTTCATACGCCGCATTAGTATGACGATACTGGTGATGTTGCAATTCCCAAAACACAGATGGCGAGCGCTAGGTACTCATGTATTCTGGCGTATACGTCATGAATTGACCAGAAAAATTCCCCATGAAACGGCAACGATCTGTAACCGGAAGTGATGTCGGTGGCATTCTTGTCGATAATTATTTGTCCTTCCATCATGACATTATAGGAGACCGTATCATTGCCAAAGCCGATTGAACGTCTGCGAGTGTAATAACGCAGCTCGGCACTGGTCGGAAATAGTCATGAACATGACCAGAGGTGAGCAGAAATTAGAAGCAAGAAAAACAGCAGCCAATTGGGAAAGTTTTAAACCCTCATAGAGTTCACGTAAAATCCTTAGAAGGCACAAAATACAATTTGTACTAATGTATATATGTATATGGATCGTACCATGTGAAACGCTGACATTCATCTGTTACACAAACATGTACACAGAGGTACGATGGGCCTCTGTTTTTTAAATAAAAATTCAAGGTATCTCTCGGTAGAAGTGATTACCGGATTCTTCACAGTATTTACTGTAGGTACTGTAGGAATGCAGCATATGTATACCGGTACGAGTACACGCTGATGATAATGATACACATAGTTACGAGTATTATTCTGCCGAATGTGTTGCACAGAGGGAGACAATTTTTACATCAGCTGATAACAGATAAAGCAGTTGCTTGTGAAGCCAGTTGAAATACAGCAAAGAAATCTTCGCAACTGTTAATTGTTGTTCTAATTTTCTGATAACGCCGTCAAAAGCAAATTCTAAATTTGCGCAGGATCACTTTGCGCTTAGTGTCTTAATTCGAGAATGCTTGGAATATTAAAATATTACTCGTATTAAAGTTAACGGAAACAATTTAGGAAATATAAAATTTAATAAATAAAAGCCGAATGTGAAGGAATATCTGGTTAAGAAACCCATGTAATGTTTCTTTAACATAATAATTATGAGTTTTTCCCTAGATACCAGCGCTCATGATCTAGCATTTACTGGTAAATTTTCGGTGCACAGCTGACTGCTTTTCTGTTGTCTTTTCTAAAAATCATCGTGACACCAACACGAACGTCATCCCTGTTGTTTCTGCGTATTAATATTACGCAGTCTGGGAATGATTTTCGGGCAAAATTACCGGGTTGGAGTACTTTTGCCGGAGATTAAATCAAGCTTAGCCTCGGGACACAAACTCTCCGTGTATTCCACCTGCATCGGCACGGACGGAATTGAATCCCGGCACAGGCAGGGTCTATCATCAAATCCGCTTACCGGCAAATCAGTAGGTAAACTGCAGTACAATGCCGGCGCCGGATGTACACGGCCCGTATTCAATAGACCGCACAATGTGACGCACAATGTATACACTTTGTCGGTACATTGCCGGGTTTTCCCACACGATGCGCAGGCTCACCATTTTCCCTATCGATCCAACTGCATCCCAACGTCAAACACCGTGGCCACTCTCTCGCTCTCAACAGCTGCTCTCATCGATCGAGCATACAGCAGCGTAGACACGATATTTTCCCGTTAATAATTGCCTCATCGCGGCAGTTTTTATATAATCGATCCTTGTCGCACGCATTTTGATCCCACAACATCCCAGATTGATTTCTCCTGTAGACAATTCCCAGATCGACAATTTTTTTTTAAAGATTTGGACATTGCTGAATTTCAATTAATAACCTACAAATTTGTACAGCGGAATTGTAGTTGTACAGCTGAAGACTAAAATGACTACCAAATCGTCATCTATTACGCCAATCCCGTTTTTCACTGGCCCGACGATTGAGCTGATGGCCGACATGGTCCAGGAGATGGCGGACGGGGCCCGGGACGCCGACAACCCCTTCGATCCGTCCCGCATCACCACCCCAGTCCCCTCCACCCCCTCATCCCTCGCCACTCCACCCTGGCAGTTCCGTCCGCAGCCAGTCAACAGTCTCTTCGACTCCCTGACCCTCCGCGCCACCATCGGGGCCCTGCACGCCATCGTCTTCCTGTCCGGGATTCTGGTCAACCTCCTGGTGATCGTGGTGGTGGCGCGGGGGCGCCGACACGGCCTGCACACCGTCACCAACACCCTCCTGTGCAGTCTGTCTGCCAACTACATCGTCATGTGTCTCTTCACTGGCCCCCTGATGCCGCTGAGCGCCTACACCCACGGCTGGTATTTCGGCCCGCTCCTCTGCCACATGTTCCCGTCCATCGAGACCGCCACGTTGTCGGTGGCCACCCTGACCATTACGGCCATCGCGCTGGAGCGTTTCTTCACCATTTGCTGTCCGATGGTCCCGCGGCTGCGAGTCAAACATGGAATAGTGATAGCCGCGGTCATCTGGATGGTGGCGTACGGGTTGGCGGTGCCGTATGGGATGTATATGACCCGGACGGTGCGTGAGAAAGGGATGCCGGTGCGGTGTATAGATGACTGGTCGATGGATGGGCGCCGGACGGTGGGGCTGGTGTCTGTGGTGGTGCAGAATATTCTACCGTTGGCTATCTGTGTGGTGTCGTATTTGGCGGTGTGGTGGAAATTGGGCGATCCGCTGATGCGTGTGGTGCTGGTTAACTGTACACACGGTGGGACGGAAGTCACAAGTCTCGAAGACGAACGCCGTCGCATCGTAAGTAAATTTATTTTTATAGCTGTCACAGTAACATTCCATTTTATGCCAGTCCAACACAGAAATATCAAGAACATTTCATTCTGTTTATTCGTTAGTCGTTTCTTGAGTATCTGCACACGAGAATGCCGCACTGATATGATTATATTTCCAGCTTGATAGTTATAAGAAAACCCAGATCAAGTCAACGACATTTGTAAGGGTTCGTATTTAGTTTGGCGGCTCGTCGAAATTCGGCCGGCTCCAGATTTTTATTAATGTTAACTTGAGCTATTTTAGGTTTAATTGTTTAACGTATTTCTTTCATGCCATCTTCCTTTCTTAATTAAGACAGCTTCTTTAATCTTCTTCTGGTGTTATTTTGCATATTTTTTGGGCTGCATTTTCTTTATGAGCCTCATGCTGTTAAATAATGTTTAAATTTAGGATATGACAAATAAAATTATGCAGTTGCTACAGTGCTGTATACATATAAGTTATAACGCCTATAATCGACTTAATGCATCCATGTATTTACTTAAAACTATTCGCACTTTGTTCGCCGGTTGCACGCAGGCTAACATTTTTCTGATAAATCTCTGTGTTCCTTTTTTAGCCTTTTTAGACTGTTTGGCATGTTTTTATAATCTTGGCCTATTTTATACTTTTCCACTAGCGAAGGTTTTAATGAACCTTGTAATATTCTTTTGAAGCCTAACATTTGTACTTTTTTGATAACCGATGACCTTACACTGACAGATAATGCTGGTGTGGAACGCCATGATCTTCGCTCTCTGCTGGCTGCCATTGGCCGTCATCGACCTTCTTGGCGCACATTTTCCGCAAACGACGTCGGAGGATTCCGATGGTTTCCTCTTCCTCTTCTTCATGGGACACCTGTTAGCCGTCAGTTCGGCCGTGTGGAACCCGGTTTTATTTGCCGTAATGGACTGGCGTTTCCGGCGCCAGTTGGAGCAGCTTTTTGCCCGCTGTCGTATCTGCAAAACCGGCCATGTGGACCCCGAACAGGACAGCAACATGATGGCGGTGTACAGTACCGATAAATCCCTGCCAACCGCCGGTGACAATCTGGTCTTTGAGGTCAACGCGGGTGAGACGCCGCCTCCGTACGCCTACGTGTATTCCGTGGATGCCGGTCAACCACAACAGGCGCAGCTGGCGCCGACGGCACTACGCACCGATGACTACGCGGCACTCCTTGATTATCCGCACGAAGAAATGAATTCTTAATCTACTGTATCCGCAAACCGCAGTATTTAAGACACCTTTTTATTTACAATATTTTTCATTAAGTCTTTGGTCTTTTTTTCTGTATTATAGATTTTACTAAACATAATATTTCAGATTTGCCAGGTCAGGTCGTTTTCAGTTACAATTTTCGTTTAATTTTTATTCGTTATTTTATTTGTTTTCTAAAGGCGTTCCAGATTCGCCGTGTATCACACAAATCCCATACGGTTTAAACCCTTTAAGTGATTTTGATCCTTTTAATACTTATTGCAACCGTCTGTATTACCAGTTTTTATACTAATAACATGAAAGTAGTAAGTAAAATTCTTCCCTGTTTTTTTAATCATTTTGCTTTTTAATGAGGTTGTTAATGCTTTGTGCTAACAATTTTCAGTAACAAAGTAGTAACGTAGTGCACTTCTAAACGCTGTCCTTGTAGACAAATGTTATCATGATAAAAGAGATAAAGCTTAACTTGTTGGTTACAATCCATATAAAATCGCATTAAATCTTAACATTCTGATGCTGTGGGTGCGTTGATAGAAAATCTTGATCCTGGCTGGTTAACAGCATTGCTGGTTGCGTGAGCCGGTCTCTTGCAATCCATGGGCAAATGTATCTCTTCCGGCTCATAGTTTCCGTTGTAAAACGCGTTGGTTATGGTATACACCGCACCTTCGTCGACCCGCCGCAATAACTTCTTGTTGTTGTTCCACCATTCACGAAACCAGACAAATTCGCAGCCACACTGAATCTTGCGCAAACTCTCACTGGGTTCCGTCGTGTTTGCAGTGCTTGATGCCGACGTGGAACCCTCCAGAGAAAGTAATCGTAAGTCTTGCAGATCAGAAAAAGTGCCTTTTTGGAGATTTTTAATAGTTGAGGAGCGAAATAAAATAATCTTTAATTTTGTTGAATGTTGGAAATCGTTTTTCATGATATCCAGATCCGAACACCCAATCAGCTGAAATTCTAGAAGATTAACGAATCGAAGCTGTCTCAGTTTGCCCGTTGTGCGGCTGCTCACGCAGAACCACAGGCGTAATCTGACCGCCTGTTGTCGCACCGGAAAAAAATTACTGGACGTAATTCCGACACTGTCCATCATTTCTACGCTAATTGCACGCCGTGGCGGCTGCGATAAAGATGTTGCTGTTGTTCTGATTTCCTCGGCAGTTGCGGAGCGCATGCATGATATTTCTAATCCTGTCGAAACGATGCTGTCGCATTCACTTGGCTGGAGAGTAGGAGGTCTGCAGTTCTTCGTGAACTGCCGGCTGCATTGGTCCATCGACACTGGCTCCTCGGAAAATTGTGGAAATGGTTCTTGATTACTTTCAGGTTCTGTAATTACATACCTTATCTGCCTGTTAATAATATTACAGAAATATGCGCATACCCAAAAAAATACTGTGGCTAAGGCACTACAAATAGGACTGAATTCCGTTTACAGTATACCCACCTTCTGCATCTTCGGTGGTGCTGTCAACGGCGCTTGTGGTTGTTTCGGATGTTTCCGTCGCTTCCTGAACTGCATTTACAAAAAAAGGGAACAAACCGTTTTAAAGAAGCAAAGCGATAAATCCGGCGTTACCGATACGAAAATAATGAAACATTGTGCTTTGTGCGCGACATGTGCTTCGTAGCTGGAATTACGTACTCCTACCGAACATAAATCCGAACACTATAGCAACAATAATAAAATGATAAACGGTAAATCATATGAGAATATGAGAATGATAATATGCAAAGATACAGCTACAAAAACTCATCAATAACCAGTTCTGCCATCAGTACGTCTTGTGATTTCAGAATTTATTTTTGACCTCATTGATGACTTCAGTATTTTCTAAACACATCAGACTGTCGTCAGGCCACATAGGGCTCTCTAGCGGGTACTAATAAACCCTGGGAATGGGAATCGGGAATTGGTATTGGGAATTGGTAGTGGGAATGGTATTGGTAATGGGAAACTCCATAATAAATGGGAACGGTAATGGTATTTCGTAATGGGAATGGGAATCGATTGATAAATTTAACCCAGGCCTTCCCGGCATCCGATCCCGTTCAAATTAGACCATGGGAACCAGGATTTGTCGATAAAAAATTCAATTAAGAAATCAATTTTTTTCAAAATTTTGCTAGCCATAGACCAGCTAAAACAGATTGGTATCAATCTGACAATAACGGGCTGCCTTGTAGGCGTGACAAATTATAAATTCAATTGTTGTTTATACGGTTATAAATATAAAGTTATTTTGGCTAAAAAACACTTTAAACTAGACAGTTTTCAAAGGACATAATAATATGCTGTTAATCTTTACGAGCATAATATTATTGCCCGTCGAAATGATCACCGGTCAGCAATGTTTGCTAACCACTACACTACCTACTAGCCCCCAGTCGGTGGGCAAGCTTGGGACACTTTCCTTGAGGTAAAGGCAGTAACCTTCTTAGGTAACCCGGAAATAAGTGCGGCACTGTACGCTGATAAACGTACTTACATTGCCGTATTAATGACCACTGGACCACCGTTTGCTTATCGCGTTTGTCTGCATGCATCTTGTCACGACCTATCACTCAGAACCTCACAGCACACACTGACCGCTCAAAGCGTACTGTAATTGGTGGCAACTACAAAGTATATGGTTGCTATGTCACACATGTTGTCCTGCAACAATAACTTTCGACCACAAAAAAATGGAAAAAAAATCAAATCCATGGAGCATCCATTTTCTCCACCGGACAGTAATCACTCCGTCGACCACTGTCCACTGAAAAGACTTCCAGTTAAAAACCCATAAAAGGTTGTCTTAGAACACCAATTTGCAGAATGTTGCGACATATACTGGATTTAACTTAAAAATCGTGTATGACGGCTGTACCCCTCTGTAGCCCTATGTTGCCTGACTTGCCTAATTCGCTCTTGGCCGTCAGACACACCAAACATTAAAACGTTAGGAATAGATGCAGAAAATCTTTGAAGTACCTTTAGGTGCACCGTCGACTGTGAATTCGAAACAGGCTACGAAAATAAAGGGATACTGTAATTCAGGCACAGTATGTACATGTACTAAGCATCATGTTTAGCCACAACGCAAAACTCCAGCCGGGTGACGGCAGCAAGACGCAAGCCAAGGAGCTCTTTCCTCAGCCTTTGAAAACCCCCTGTATTAAAATCTACAAACCTACCTAAAACGATATAGCCCCTTGTATTAAAATGTACAAGCCTGCCTAAAATAAGGCGGGCCCCCGGCTTCTGGCCAAGAAGTTCTGGGCTTGCCGTTCAACCACATCTGCATTGGGGATATTAGTCCCACTGCCGTTGACGTCCATATTCACATTATTACCACCGTTTGTGTTATTAACTTATTACCAACTTTGTCTTTAACTGCAATATTCGTTGACGTTTCAGCGGACGCATCCGTTGACGATTGAAAAGAAACACCGGGAATGTTGGCGCCTTGGATGGTCGTGATGAATTCCGTGGCAACGCTGCGGGCATCAATCTGGTCGTTACTGGTGCCCTCAATGTGGAACGTCACCACTTTCATGCCGGGCAGACCGGAATCGGCTTCGAAAAGGAGAACGATCTTCATGTTGGACAGCCCATGGCTGGCTGCACAATTAAAAAAAAACAATAAGCACCCGGCGCATTCAATCATAATTTTTTAATTGAGATTTGAGAAGTTAGCTATTTAATTGGTAAATACAGTAAGTTTGCTCGAAGAGGACGAGTATCTGGTGCAACAGCCTGGGGTGCTCATGGACGGATGTATACGCGAAATTGGCCTGAATTGGGATCTTGAAGTGGTAGAGTGCTAATAAAAAAACTGATTAATAATATCAGCACTTCATGATTCGGGAAGTGCAAATCGGGAAAATCTATGATGTTTGTACATCGGGGTCCTCGGGTCGTAGTCACTTTCCCTATCGCTGTCGTTTGCCTAACTCCAACTACAAAAAAACTGTTCCATTACCAATACAAAATGCAAGTTTGAAGATCGCGCCACTTCTAGTGGCGACATTAAGGGAATCATGGTAATCTGTGCCACCGGAACTTTTTTTGTATAAGGTACTTCGGAAAAGTTTTGGCGATATTGCTAAAATACTTAAAAAGCTTTGCAAAAAAGAAGGAAAATTTCGATCGTGTTCCAAGTTTTTTTCAGATTTCGATTTCACGTACATTGTTTACACTAATATGTGTTAAAAAACGGCCTGCGCCATTTAAACTGGAGCCAGATTTGTCTTCTTTTTACCTTCGTCGGCGTAACCAGTGGTGATAGCGACACTTGTCGTGTTTTCTTGCGTTTTTGTTGTTTCTTCCACTGTAACAGCCAACAGACGGATTAAAAAAATGCCTTAGATAGCTTTTCGAACCTGCAAGTCGGCTCCAGGTTGTGCAAGCGCTTTTCGATAATCTGGAAGGGACAGCTTGGGACGCCAAGGACGTCCGCTTCCCAGTTTAAGATTAAAGTGAGACGCTTATAACTCTTCTGCTTCTTTTATCGAAATAAACAAGCTATTCCGCTACAGTATTGCAGTACAAATACAGCGAACATCAACGAAACAATCCCCAAATAATTACTGTAAATTTACCTATGGATTCAGCAGGTATTATGGCCTTTGTACACTTGAAATGTCTTTGTATTCTAGCCACATCTAGGATGCTTAAGTTATCTCGCTGTCCCATCCTAACGTGCTTTTCCTTTGGAAGAATAGTAGGAACTGCGCTGTCCTTGGCAAATGCATTAACCTTATAGTGCATTACTGATTGATAATCGTATGGTAAACCGTAGGTATTTCCTGACAAAATGCGGAACTGGTCGCGGTTCACTGAAAACAATGTTTTTGGTGAAATACAATGAAAAGGGCAAGACATAAAGAAACCTGCTTCTCTGTAAGCGCATAAACGCACTTTCTGCAATGTTATCCCAGAAAATAGTAACATAATCATCTCGATCGCTGCGGGAATGTTCGTGATAGAAGCCCATAGCATGCATTAGTTGGTGTTGTATATCTCCGTGGAAATGCGTACAGCTGGCAGTGAACGTCATAGTGAGATTCCCGCTCTGACGCCCGACAGAGGATGAACATCTAAGGACATTTGTTGGTAGTTGGTAAGAACTTGTTGAAGCACTTGAAACTGCAGAACCAGTACTGGTTCATTTGTTTCACCTTACACTGTTCCCTTTTTAATCAAAACGTAGTCGGTCTCGGTGGTTCGCACAACGAAGCGCACACAATCGCCGGTTAAGCGGCTGATGATAACCATCGATTTCAAGATAAACTGTTTCTCTTGTGTGGCTAGCCATGGCAAAAAAAGCAAATCTAGAGTAGGTGTCAAATGTATGCATAAAGTATGTGAGATAACCCACGCTTCTTACTGAAGTCATCCCCGTCTCGGGCAAACTCATAAGGAATGGTGTTATCGGGCCAGCGCCGGTCTTCGCCAGTCACAGCGTTTGCCACAACAGAACCATGAAATCGAATGCATGAAAATACCATGTACACCGCGAAGCGGATCATGATAATTATGGTGATCGAGGACTGCATTAGTGGATTCGATTCTGGCACGAGCGGTACCGTACCGAGAGACTCTTTGGATTATGAGCATCGCCAAGTGCATCGTCATTATTTTACGGCTAAAACACCGCACAGCATATTCAATCCAATATGGTAGTGTTTACTGCAATGTGCGGCACTTTACCATAGCTCCAAAGGTGCCACCGATATTGCGGGAAAACTGGTTGCGCAGGTTTAATACCGCAACAGCTGCTGGCTGAAAATCATGTGGGAAGGATTGAGCTACTGTTAAGTGCACAAAACCTGAAGAACCGAAATGAGCCGGCTATCCGACAGTAACTAATTAAATTAAGTCTTATTTACGTTACGTATTCTATGGATACAAGTACACACAGCAGTCTTAATTACTGATGGCTTTAGTTACCCGCAGCTAAAACTTTTAGCTGAATATTCACTATTTATTCAACGCTGTCGCAAGGTTTTGGATGAATGTGCGTAATAAATTGTTCAAACTGGAAGAAATCATCATTTTGCAATTGTTATTTTTGAATAATGAACAGACATTTCTAGAGAGGCAGGCATTTCATTGATTGTTCTGGCGGATTAACCTGGAGCGATAAAATGAAACGCTCATTACTATCCTCGCAATCAGTACGAGTATACAATAACACCACTACATTATATGGTGACCGCTGTTTGATAACCGAAAAAGGAAAAATAAAGAACCAGGCTAGCGGTTGCCGCTTGCCGGTTAAACATTCACAAGAAAACGCTCTGATAAGTAATAAAAAGTGCGCTCATTATTGTTAATGACGCTGATCCACACAGGCTAGTCGGTTCATTTAATCCGGTTAGCAACCGTTGACCACACGAAACGCAAAGGCGATGCCGCTTTTCGTGGTACTTATACTGTAGCGGCTCCACCAAGTTATACCACAGAGTTTGTGCACGCGAAAACTGCACATACGCAGCGAAACGAAACAGTTCCAGCTGACTCCATCCTTTGTACCTCAGAAGACATTCTCAGGAATATCATCGTTCGGATATCTTTGCAAATTAAATTGTAGAACTTTTAGACTTTTTAGAACTTTTCCTTGCTGTTATATCTTTGGTTTTGCCGTCGCAAAAACATCTCTTCAATATCAGTTGACGTTTTCACCGCTTCCGATGAACAGTTGCAGGCTTGGACACTTGGCTGAAGGAAATGTAAAAATATGTTTCGAATTGTTTTCGTGCAGTTCTGAAACTGATGATAAACTACAAAGGAAACCCAAGCGGAAGTGACCACTGAGACGATAAGAAACGTAGCACCCAAACTGCAGAATAGCGATCCGATACCCTCGAATCTCGATGGATCGTTTAACGTACGCTGGAGGCTCAGCTCTATAGATACCGAATGCTTTAATACCGTTTCTTCGAAGTTTAAGCGGAAATCACGGACAATCAACGCCCATGTCTCAAGGTCACAGGATCACTTTCGAGGACACTGCACTGATCTGTGTGCTATATGTGCCAGTCTAATGTGTTATATGTGCCAGTACAGTGTTCCAGCGGACACGAGTGTTAGATGTATACGAAGGAAGTGAACAGCGAGCCAGTCAATAAATCGATAACGATCAAATGATGGATGTGCCAGTGTTTTTGCCTGTAGCCCACATGATGCGGATTAGCAGTGTTGTCGGCCCTGTAAATTCCCTCTTCACGACACTGCACGCCTACTCCATCAGTTATTCTCCCTTCTGTGAGAACCGCGCATCGAAGCGTTAAAAACGTAATCTTGCACTTCGTAACCGGTAACAAAAATGTTTATGGAACAATCACATTTATTTACAGTGTTTAATTCACTACAAAAAGATACCAAAAGAGTCCAAAAAATTTTCATCTGACTATCTAAGATACGGTGTAAAAAAGCAGTTACATAGATGTACGATAGTGTTAAAGCCTTTACTGTTCACGAACAGCAACTTACTTTGTTTACATGTATTGAAGAAAACTTTTCATGTGTAACAGCAGCATTTCCTGTTTGCTCCGTGGAGCGTAACGCTCTGTACGGTTTCCCGCTGCGCTCCCTGCCCTGCACATGCAATCCAAACTAGGCACCATTTAAGCCTGTTAGCCGCAATTGATGTTCCATCTCCACAGGAAACAAGCGCCCTCGCTAATCTCTCGTTAACACGCATATGTACCGGCACTCCCGTTTACTTCTGTTTACGGTCCAAGTCTGCAACTCTGCAGTGGTTCAGGCGCCTATACCATCCTTTTTGTTACCGTACAATGTACTTCTACAGTATATACAATTCATATAATTATATCTGTCGATATTTGCTTAACTTAATCTGATTTACATTCAACTTAAACCCAGAATTTATTTAAGGCACTCACTCGTAAAATGCATCACGTATTTAACAGCAAACATTCGTATTATTAACAGCTGTCTTTGTGTAAGTAGATGTATTGTACAATTTAGGTGATGTAAGAAGACCTTGTTTTCAGTTAAACTTAATTAACCGTATAGATTTTATTTGATCACATCCAATATAACTGACAAACACACACAAAAAGATATAACAAAAAATAACGGTCGATTGTACATTACAAACGTTATACCAGCTACCCATGCGAGGATACGTGATACGTTTCAAATCGGTTTGAAGCAAGATTTTTATATAAATCGGAACTTGGGTTTCATAATTTGAATTATGGCGTTGTCCGCACAGTTTTACCAGGTATGGTAAGTATATGAATGACGAATGGGAACAAAAAAAGGAAAACCGTACAGATAATTACGAGAACCGTCAACCATTATGAAGCAAACAAACACTTTTGTACATGCACATCGACCCGAAATGCGTGGACGTACACGTTTTTTTATGGAAGATGACATTAAAATGCTTTAGTTTGTCTATAAAAGGGCGCTTTCAACAGCACATTGCACTGTACGGTGTACACAACTTATTTCCGGAACAATTGAAGTTAACCTGAAAAAATATATCGATATCTCAACAAACTTCCGGATTGAACATTGTACTCGTAACTCTGTTATTAATTTTATTTCCGCCTGGTCAGTTTCGGAACATATTATTTACTGAACACGCACAGGTGTAAATGATTGCACAATTTTTGCATTTGTAAGTAAATTGATTAATGTTTTATAAATCTGTACACAAATTTCATTAAATGTTTTTATACCAAATAATTCCAATTATTTATACAACTGGATATATCTATATAATTATTTAATAAGTTATTATTTATATAATTCTCAATATGAAACGGTTAAATATCAAGACTTTATAATGTAATGTACAGATAATTTATTTTCTACGGCTGTTCCGTGAGGTATCATGTCAGCGGTGATATCGGATTTCCATCTGTCCAAAAGACACTTAATGGGTTTGAATAGCCTGGCAGGAGCGAATTCCCGACGGGGTTCCCACTGATTAATTCGCTCTCCTCGCATCAGTCGCTGAGCCAGCAGAAATGCGCCAGCCGTACCGCGATCATGTTACGTAAGCGCCGGTCTAAACACACGTACAAATGCATCCATCCATTCGCGTACCACCACCGAGAACAATATCGCGACGTATGACTATCATCGGCGCCAGGGTAAACAGCATGCATAGCACAGCTGTGTGCAGAAAAACCGGTTGGTGCCGGGTCCGCGTGTTAACCATCAGCGTTTATCTTCCGCTCGGTGTACGTGTATGTGTTTTAACACTTTATCAGACTTGGCTGGTGCGCGCTATTAATCAGTCACGCCGGTTACGAAGGATTTCGATGTAGCAGTATTTCCGCATTTAATTTCTCGTGAAAAATAGCGATTGTGTTTTTTGACGGACGTTGACAAGAGACAGTGCCGCGGGTGATTTTATGCAATAATTTCCTATTGTTCCTGGGACATATTTTGGCGGCTTGGTTGGAAGGTTGCCCGTTGGAACGCGCGACGTACCTGAAATGTATCGATCAAAATTTCGACAGGAGATGCGCACAATGTGGAAATTATGATGATTTAACGAGAGCGATAATTCCTTCTGCTATGTATCCAAAGGCTTATCACCAGCGACTGATAAGATATGCACAAACTACATTTCACGAAGCGCCCGTTTTATCATTGACCGAAGAAGTCTGCGTGCGCGTTTAACATATTACTTTTTCGAAGAAATTTCCCGCAGAAAAAAAATACCTTTTGCATAAATTAATCGATCGAGCGGCGATTAAATAACATTGTCGGTACTGGTAATTAACCATGGCCGCTTTAATTCTCGTGGCTGCGGTGCTGGTGCTCGTTGCGGTGTATCTGCGCGACTACATCCGGTTGACGGTGCTGCGCGCCCTGGGTCGGCTGCCACCGGGGCCGCCGGCCTGGCCGATCGTCGGCACCCTGGGCATCGATGACGAGGCGCCCTGGGAGACTATGACGCGCTGGAGTCAGCAGTACGGGCCGCTCTTCACCTTCTTCCTCGGACCGCAGATGCAGCTGGTCATCGGGGATGCGGAGTTGACGCGGACGGTCCTAAAGGATGCCCGCTTCGAGGGACGGCCGGTGACTAATCTGTCGCGGGTGTTCAAAAATAACGGTATGCACCATATCCGATTTTTAAAACTTTTTCTAGGTTTTCTTCATTCCTGAGTGTCTGTTTCTGATGTAATGACGCAAAAAAAAGACTAGCGAAAATGGTGTAGTTATAATTAGCCGTCAAGAAATACCAACAATTAATACCGAAGAATTCCTTTAAGTTTAAGAAAGAGGTAAAATACAGTACATAATTGCTTACGATTAGATAGTGCATTATAACGTAACTTTTAATTGAGTGTAAATGAAACAAGTTTTCTTAATTACCGGTCTGGGGATTGCTCCATTTCTGCTGACAAAGTAACTACATTACTCTAAATTTAACGTTGTGTTTATTCATATTTCGTATTAGATTTTTCTACAACATACAAGCAAAGGATATTACATGTTTTGTATTCGCCAATGCCAATGTCAAAACGCCGGCAGAATTTTCTGCCGACCGAATTTTTGTGTGGTCAAAATGCCGGCCGAATTTTCTGCCGGCAGAATTTTTGTGGGGTCAAAACGCCGGCCGAATTTCCGGTGGTCAAATTGCCGGCAGAATT